GGGGGGGGGGGGGATTTATGGGACATCAGCAAGAGGCATGCTATTTTATACATGCACATAAAATTCTTTATGCTGTTACAATAAATATATAAAATAGTATTAATAACAGACTTGTGAAGTTTATGTTTATAAAGGTTTATATTATACTTACTCCAGATTGTCATCAATAGGAATCTGAACGTTTCCTGGCTAAATAGTCGCTCCATGGAAATCAACAAAATCATCACCAAACTCATCATCACTTCTTTCTCCACTACTAGCACTCAAAGTTTCTTCGCCAATAGGATTTCTGTCAGATCTGATAAATATTAAATAATATATTATATCAAAATATCATATCGTACTATAATACCATGCAGTTTTTTTTTTACTCCAAAACCTGTAAATAAAATCAATGTATCAAGCCGAATTGAATATCAAATTAGCGCAAAGACAAAGTATTATCCACAGACAAAAGACGTCGTCGTATTGAGGGAGCGCTTGGCGTTGAAGTATCGACTAGACAAAACATAACATCTAAATGTTACTATGAATTTCAATTGACCCTCATTTTTTTATATTACGGTATCAATAATTTCTTACCAGGAGAAGGGAAATTTCTGCTTCCCATTGGAGGAGTCACCGGCATATCGCTTGACAATAGCAACTCACTTGTCCTCATATTTATATCGGTTTGTGTCTCTGCATTGCTAAAATTATGTGAAGATATTTAGTATTGCAGTATATACAGATAAAACACATTCAAAAAAGACAAAGGTTTGACTGTTCATATGTTTACAACGTACCAAACTTCCAGACTCCTGGTCACATATCCATCAAGTAGCATGTTCGCGACATCCTTATCGGTTCTCAGATTGTGCTGTTCCTTAAACGCCCTCCATCGAGGAAAACAATCGAACAGATATATTTTTGAAGAATCCCTGTTTGCGTAGTATTCTTTCCTACTTAAGCTTGTCATGTTGCCTCAAAACTGTAACAAACTAACAATATTTGACACTAGATTTTCGCTATTGAGAGTTTGTCGCTCAAAATACTGTAATTTGGAAACTTTGCGTCAAGGCGGGAGACCGCGTGTTATTGCCATGAATGAGACTGGACCGAGCACAAACAAGAGATGTCAACTTCCGGTGGAGTCCCCAGGCAAAAATAATCACACGCATGCGCAAAAGGGACTGTAACCTACCTTTAAGGGTGGGCATAGCTCTGGAGAAATCGAATTGATTCAGGCCTGTGATTGGCTAACGGCAGATATAGTTCGTTGGATTTCCAACGTGAGTTCTATATAATCAAAGTATTTGGAAGTTCTCGTCGAAAATTTGATACTTTTTACACTGAAATCGATCGAAAACAACTAGAAATTCTGGAGGAAATATGTGCGAAAGCTGCGGATTGATAGGGATACAACTACCTGAAAAATACAAGGAGAACTTCGACGTTTCGAGCGAAGGCGCTTCGACTTGTGCTGTTAGTGTTTGTATACATCGTACTTGACCTTTTATATACTGTCATACCTAACACTACGTATACCATAAATTCTGACAGAAGAGTTAAATGTAAATTTTAAAGCATAAAAATATATAATACTTATTATTGAGATTATATTTATCAGCAAAGGTCAAGTACGATGTATACAAACACTAACAGTACAGATCGAAGCGCCTTCGCTCGAAACGTCGAAGTTCTCCTTGTATTTTTCAGGTAGCTATATCCCTATCCAACCGAAGCTTTCGTACATATTTCCCCCAGAATTTTTAGTTGTTTTCAATTCGATTTCAGTGTAAAATGTATCAAATTTTCGACGCGAAATTCTAAATACTTTATTTATATTTTGCAACATTGCCGAGCATGCGTAGAACTCACGTTGTAAATTCAACGTGAATCAATTCGATTTCTCCAGAGCTATGCCCACCCTTAACCTGCGAACGGGCATGCTCGGGAACGAGATTGGCTAATATATGTAAACAAAACGCAAATCTCGATTCAAACAACCCTGAAATTCCCTGAAGTGAATTCACATAAACACCGCAACGACTTGAGTTTGAATAACTACGGCGTACTAGAATGCTCAAGAATGCAAATTATAGTCGCCTTTGTCTTAGAGTAAAGATGCTATTGTTGATATAAGAACGTACGTTGCCGTTGTATTTGCCAAACTCTCTTATACAGCAAAAACATCGTTTCCGTCTAAAATATAGCCTGCGCGGCAGGCGGTATTTCTACAGGCAGCGAAAATTAGGGAGGCAAAGGAAATACCGTCTGCCACAAAACTAGGGGTTTTTGAATTACCCGTCCGCTGGTGAACGGGAAAAACGGATTGGTTAGTATTTTTATGTAGTTGTCAATCAACGGCTAAATTCGGTTAAATGTTAATCATTAACCAAATGTTTTGACGTTTTGAAACTCTGCGTTTTGAAATTAGTTCACGTGAAGTCAGACCACAAATGGAATAACATAATATAAAAGAAGCAAATTAAAAGATGCAAGCTGAAAAATAACACTCTAAATAGTGTTTTTGATAGAGATTCGAACAAGAATATTTAACAAAGAAGATACGTCCGAAGGGGCCGAAGTTATGATCGGCGAAAGGTATGGGCTAGTCTATATTTTCGTTCAGACAATTACATGCGTAATAATTTGATAATATACGATCTCGCTTGACTTTCAAAGGCCATAAATCGCAATAATGTTGACATTTTACTAAAACTATCGATAGAAATTAGGAGATATTTCTTCACTGAATCGAACAGTGGGATTTTCATATTAAATGTAAGCACGGTCTCTTCGACCTAGATATCTCCTCTTTCGTCACTTTTTCTTCAAACAGCTCGTCTCACGCCCGTTCAAGTTCGGACAACTTGCTTCGTGTCAATCATTGCAGGAATAATAAATAAATAAATATAGGCCTATCATGTTCTGAACCAAAGATACTTGATAGATATTATATACGAACCTCCAAAGTATAAACAAGGGGCCGGTTGATGCAGTAATTATCAAATAACAGTTAAACTCTTTATATATACCGTTGAATATGTATAGTTGTAAACAAATAAAAACTATCGTTCTATAAGGTTCAATACTTTCAGTTTGGTTGTTGACTGATGATGAATCTATAGTATAGACTTGCATGCTTTGTATTTTGAGCTTATTAAACCACCGTTTTAAGGCAGCTAAACGGGCTTGGTTTATATTAACACATAAAATAAATTCCTTGATTCTCATCACTAGACACAGTCTACACTTTGAAATGTCGAAGACAGTGGGAGATTTATTTTTATATTTTATATTTATATAATTTATATATCAATAGTTCGTATCTCCACGAACAATGACAGAATGACTGAGTTTCTTTAAAATACAATGAAATTTCATTCAAAATTCTGTTTGTTTCAAATTGGAAGTTTAAAATGGCAATA